GTCAGCAAGGGTTGTCGGTCGAATCGTATTTTGGTAAACTTACCAAACTATGGGATGACTTGGCCTCTCTTCGCTCGATCAAAGTTTGTAAGTGCGGTGGTTGTTCCTGCAACGTCGCGACTGACTTGGAGATTCAACGCCAAGAAGATCGGTTGTTCGAGATTTTACTCGGCCTTGACGATGCCAGATTTGCTACGGTGCGATTTGCGACGGTGCGATCGAACTTGCTGTCGCGGGTTCCCCTACCCACCGTTGAAGAAGCTTATATGGTCGTGACACAGGTCGAGGCTTCGAAGGACAGTCTCTATCGCTCTTTTGAAGTTTCGGATGCTTCTGCTCTTTTTGTTCAAGCTGCCGCCAAGTCTCGACCGTCTTCCGCTGCCAAAGACAAGTCGGTGGTTTGTTCCAACTGCAACCGGTCTGGCCACACGGCTGATTCGTGTTTTCAGCTCATGGGCTTTCCGGAATGGTGGGGAGATCGACCACGTAACCGTACCGGTCGTGGTCAGGGCTCTTCTGGTGGTTCTCGAGGTCGTGGAGCTGGCCGGGTGAATGCCGCACGCTCTGCTCCGTCGACCTCACTTCCGCCGTCGTCTTCGGGTGTGCTCGATTCTGACAGACCTCCGATTTCTCGTCTAAGTGACGATCAGTGGAAGACCCTTGTTACCCTACTTAATGCCGGGAAGATTGGTGCCACCGAAACATCTTCTGGTATGTCGTCCTCTATCCCTTGGATTCTTGATACAGGGGCCTCACATCACATGACAGGCTGTTTGGATCTATTACGTCACCCATCGATGATGTCACCGTGTCATATTGTGCTTCCGGATGGTCGACATTCGACGACATCTCGGTCGGGGACAGTCGTACTCTCATCGGCACTTCAACTGTCGAACGTGTTTTTCGTTGAAGGATTACATGTCAACTTGATTTCGATCTCTCAGTTGCTAGCCGATTGTGACTGCATTGTTCAGTTTACTAATAAACTTTGCTACATTCAGGACCGAGTTACGCAGACGCTGATTGGAGCGGGTGATTTGCGGGACGGATTATACTACTTTCGCGGAGTTGAGTTTGCGGCCGTCGTTCGTCTTCCTGATTCGAGTTCGTTTGAAGTATGGCATCGAAGATTGGGTCATCCTTCCTCTAGAGTTTTGAAGAATTTTTCTGGTCTTGTTATTTCTGATTCTGTTGCTCACGCTGAGGTGGCTTGCGATGTTTGTTTTCGGGCTAAGCACACTCATGATTCTTTTCCATTGAGTTCGAATAAAACCAGCGATATCTTTCAGCTCGTCCATTGTGACTTGTGGGGTCCGTATCGGACACCGTCGTTCTGTGGTGCAAAATATTTTCTTACCATTGTTGATGATTACTCTCGGGCTGTTTGGTTGTTTCTGTTGCCGGACAAAACTCACGTGTCTCGTTATCTTCTCGATTTTTTGACAATGGTGGAACGTCAATTTTCGAGAAAAGTTCGAACCATTCGCTCGGATAACGGCACAGAGTTTATTTGTCTACGAGACACATTCCGTTCTCTTGGGATCATTCACGAAACTTCTTGTGTTGATACACCGCAACAAAACGGACGGGTCGAACGTAAACACCGACACATCCTTAATGTTGCTAGGGCATTGATGTTTCAGACTCATTTTCCGATCGAATTTTGGGGCGATTGCGTGTTGGCTGCGGGTTTTTTGATTAACCGTACTCCATCTTCAGTGTTGTCAGGACGAACTCCGTACGAGGTCTTACATGGTCGTCAACCGGATTTGTCAACCCTACGAACCGTGGGGTGTCTGTGTTATGCTCACAACACAAATCATAAGGGAGACAAGTTCGCCCCTCGTAGTCTGCGATGTGTTTTTGTGGGTTACCCCTCGGGCAAAAAAGGATGGCGTTTGTACGATCTCGATAACCGGCGTTTCTTGGTTTCCCGTGATGTTACATTCTGCGAGTCTCAGTTCCCGTTTTCAGCCCCTGTTTCGTCTGCACCTCCGCCAGTTGTGATGCAAATAGATGGTTCTTCCCCTTTTCCTGTTGCAGACGACGATCTTGATTCTGTCCCGACTACTGATCCTCTTCTGGTCTCTTCCTTGGAGCCTCAGACGACGTTGGAAATAGAGTCCGACACTTCTTTGGACGTCAGGGGGGGCCCGTCTCCGCCCGCCTCAGCTGAAACCTCTGCTTCCATTGACGATGCTCTGGGTCGGGGTAAGCGTCTGAAATTTCCATCGACTCGCCTCAAGGATCATGTCACGAACACGGTCTCAATTCTGCCTTCTGTTCCTTCGACTCTCAAAGACCAGCCGTTGTCTGGAAATCCGTATCCTCTAGCTTGCGTCGTGGGTTACGCAAATTTTTCGCTCTCGCATCGAGCTTTCTTGGCATCTATTTCGGCTGATTCTGAACCACGTTCGTACAAAGAAGCGCTTCGTGATCCTCGGTGGTATGACGCAATGCAGTCCGAAATCAGTGCACTTGAAAAGAATCGTACATGGACAGTCACTTCACTTCCCCCCGGTAAGAAAGCGATTGGATGTCAGTGGATATTCAAGATCAAGTATCGTTCGGATGGTTCGGTTGAGCGCTACAAGGCTCGACTGGTGGTTCTTGGTAACCGTCAGGTGGACGCTCTAGACTATGGTGAAACTTTTGCCCCCGTTGCCAAGATGGTCACGGTTCGCACGTTCCTTGCGGTGGCTGCAGCTCGAAATTGGGAAATTCATCAGATGGACGTGCATAATGCTTTCTTACATGGCGATCTACGTGAAGAAGTCTATATGCGTTTTCCACCCGGTTTTAATTCTCACGACCCACACACTGTTTGTCGTCTTCGAAAATCTCTTTACGGTCTTCGTCAAGCACCACGCTGTTGGTTCGACAAATTGCGCTCAGCTCTTGAACGGTATGGTTTTTTACAATCTCAGTCCGATCATTCTCTTTTTACATTCCGCGATGGGGAGGTTCAGCTGTGCGTACTTGTTTACGTCGATGATTTGATCATCTCCGGGAATTCGAACATTGCTTTGCACGCTTTTAAGGAGTACCTTAGCTCGTGTTTTCACATGAAGGACCTCGGTCATCTGAAGTATTTTCTTGGACTCGAAGTGGCTCGTAACTCCATTGGTATTCATGTCTGTCAACGGAAATACGCCCTCGACATCTTGTCTGAGGTCGGCTTGCTCGGTTGCAAACCCACATATTTTCCAATTGAGCAAAATCACCGTTTAGCTCTATCAGATAGTCCGTTGCTTGCTGATCCCGGTGGCTATCGGCGGTTGGTCGGACGTCTCATTTATCTGACTGTAACTCGACCGGAATTGTCATACAGTGTTCACATCCTGTCGCAATTCATGCAACAACCACGTCAAGATCACTGGAATGCTGCTCTCCATGTTGTTCGGTTCTTGAAATCTAACCCAGGTCAAGGCATTGTGTTTCGAGCTGATTCTGACTTACGCTTACGAGGATGGTGCGATGCAGATTATGCTGGTTGTCCTCTCACACGAAAGTCCTTGACTGGTTACTTCATTCAGCTCGGTTTGTCGCCGATCTCTTGGAAGACCAAGAAGCAATCGATCCCGTCTCTTTCTTCCGCGGAGTCCGAATATCGCGCCATGAGGCTCACAACTTGCGAATTAATATGGATCAAAAGTTTGTTGTCCAGCCTTGGCGTTGATCATTCCGATTCCATGCAGCTTATGTGTGATAGTCAAGCGGCTTTGCACATTGCATCGAATGATGTCTATCACGAACGCACGAAGCACATCGAAGTCGATTGCCACTACCTTCGTCATCATCTCGACCACGAAAATATATCCACTCACCACGTATCGACAAACAATCAAATGGCGGACATTTTCACCAAAGCATTGGGTAAGAAGGAGTTTGCATGGTTTCGGGACAAGTTGGGCCTGTTGAATCTACACTCACCAACTTGAGGGGGGGTGTTGGCGAGAGTTTCGGGAGATATTCTCCAAATATGTTGCGTATATTCAGTTGCTTGTATTTGGTTGTTTCGGCTCTATCATCTCCTGATTTTCTGGAGATTTAGCTTTGTCGATTGCTTGTATATGTACACAGTATTGGAATGACACAGACCAAGCTTTTCCGGGAACTCGTGTTCTATCATCTATATTAAATTTATATTTGATTTTAAAAGGATATATAAACAATAGATTTTTAGCTGTACAAATCCGAATGGTGACCCCAATTTCCCACAAACAAAGTTACAGAATTATCTCCTTCAGCTAATAATCCACATATTTCAACGGATATATATATATATATATATATATATATATATACTGTGATTAATGCACCTTACCTTATAAATGAATTGTACATATTCGATGGATTACCAATCAAACCAATACAATGAAACTGCTTGCAAATATGCAATTAAAAGACTCTATATTCAACACAAGTATTCGTATGGTTCATATCTTCAATAAATTCGAAATGGCTCTCTTCAAACTCTAAACACGATCACTGTATTGCATATTCGTGTATATACACACACATGGATATACATATATAGCCATGTATATATACATATATATATATACATATGTATGCATGTATGTGTATACATGTACATACGTGAAGGCAGAGTGTTCTAGTCAGAAAACAGAACAGGCATGAGCCAACTCATGAGGTGGACAAAAGGGTAAATTTGGTATTTCACGTTAGTGAGGTTCAAGTTAGTTAATCTCACGTTGGACAAGTAATGCTTTTCCCTCCAAGTTTTGTCCGCCTATATAAGAGAGAGAGAGAGAGAGAGAGAGAGAGAGAGAGAGAGAGAGAGAGAGAGAGAGAGTACTTTCAAAGGTAATCGCTCTTATGGGTAACTGTGTTTTATTTTTACGCTCTGTCTTACTAAATAGAAGACATGAAGTTCTTTCAAAGACTCTTCATTGTTTTGTGACATGATCATTAAAGTGAGCAGAATAAACATATAGCCTGTCTGATACGTAATATTCTTGTTATCCATTCAGGTTTATTCAGACATGTCGTCGTGGACTTCATCACGGTTCCTGTACGAGGAGACAAAGCCATGGGGAATCCAGTTCCTTGAACGGTTCAAACGCTCAGGAAGGCTCTCCTTCAAGAACAACCAAGCCATCGTCTTCGTCCTCACCTTCGTCTCTTACGTCGCCTTCCACGCTTCCCGCAAACCTAACAGCATCGTCAAGGGCACTCTCACCACCCCGTCCAACACGACCGATGGGAAGGGTTGGGCCCCGTTCGATGGCCCGGATGGACCCACCTTGCTCGGCCAGATCGACTTGGCTTTCCTCTCTGTCTACGCTGTCGGAATGTTCGTTGCTGGTCACTTGGGTGATATGTTGGATCTCAGGACGTTTCTGACGACTGGAATGATTGGGACGGGAGTGTTCACCGCCCTGTTTGGGTTCGCTCAATGGGCCAATATCCACAGCTTCTACTATTTCCTCGCTGACCAGACCCTTGCAGGGTGGTTCCAGTCTATCGGCTGGCCTTGTGTGGTGGCTCTGTTGGGGAATTGGTTCGACAAGAGGAGGAGAGGGATGATCATGGGTATCTGGAGTGCTCACACCTCGCTCGGCAATATTATCGGGTCATTGATCGCCGCTGGTTTGCTCAAATACGGATGGGGATGGTCCTTTGCCGGTCCTGCTCTGCTCATTACTTTCCTCGGCATTGTGGTGTACCTTTTCGTGCCGGTAAACCCATATGCTGTAGGGGCTGAGAGAGACGGGACTGAAGTGGATTCGACAATGAAGCTTGGGGATACTTTCTCAGAGAACCTCCTAATAAGCTCTCGGATGAGCACTGGGCTCGACAGGAGAGCTGTCGGGTTCTGGGCTGCTTGGAGAATCCCGGGTGTCACTCCTTTCGCCTTCTGCCTTTTCTTCACCAAGTTAGTTTCTTACACCTTTCTCTACTGGCTTCCCTTCTACGTCAGCCACACAGGTATGTCTCCTGATCTCTCATTCTTTCACCCTGACTATTATATATGTGTGTGTGTATGTAAAGTTTCATCCTCCAGCTTGCACTGTCTTATGGTTGGCTGGAAATTCAGATAATGACACTCTCTCAACATGTTTCAGAGATAGGAGGGGAATATCTGTCTGAGGAGACAGCAGGAAACTTGTCGACCCTTTTTGACGTGGGAGGCGTTGTTGGAGGAATCTTAGCAGGATACGTCTCGGATCAACTTGATGCCAGAGCCATTACAGCTGCAGGGTTCATCTACTTAGCCATCCCGGCTCTTTTCCTCTACAGAATCTATGGCCACATCTCCATGACCATCAACCTCATGCTCATGTTCATAACTGGGGTTTTCGTCATCGGACCCTTTGCTCTCATCACTACTGCTGTCTCAGCCGATCTCGGTACCCACAAGTCACTCAAAGGCAATGCTAGGGCTTTGGCTACTGTTACCGCTATTATAGACGGGACAGGTTCCATTGGTGCCGCCATTGGACCGGTTCTCACTGGTTACATCTCAGCAATCAGTTGGAGTGCGGTGTTTTACATGTTGATGGCTGCAGCACTGATCTCGGGTCTGTTGCTAACCCAACTTGTCATTACAGAAGTACAAGCCAAGCTGTCTGGATCAACCGACGAAGAAGCCATCATCTCTGCACCTGTGTCCAGACCTCCCATTGATGTCCTCACCTGAAGTCTGCTCCTCCTTATTCATCCGGTGTTTGTCGCAAGAGAGAGGCTTTCCCTTGTTCGTCTGAATTTCTTCGGTCTTTTGTCTGTTTTCGTAAGAGACATGTTTTGAAGGTGTGAATGCAAACAATAACTCTCCCTGTCGGAAGATCCACAATATTCAAACACAAATATGCATGCTTATAGATCCAGAAGTGGCATTTCCTAAAATCTCACCAAACAAATTTCCAAAAACATCCAACACGAACACTCAAGGCTCCCTTGTCATCGACCAGAAACAAAATCTAGATCCAGATCCCAGTTATCCACTCAAATTGTTGAAGATCCTCAATCTCAAGCACCCAATTTACCTCCAATCCCAGAAAATAAGTATCACATTCTCATGAAAATTGTAGAGCTTATACGCCAGAGAAGCCGGTGGAACTCGATCCACGGATCATGCTCATGGGTTGGATACTTCTCCTCCACTTGCTTGGTCGGCGAGCATCTTGATGTTCGGGACGTTGTGGATCCCGCAAATGGTACCCGCGATGAACAGGAAGCGACTCCGTGTAAATCCTCATCTTCTTCTTCTCCTCCTAGTGATGCGCGAATTAGGGTTTTTGGAATCTCCGGTTAAAACGCCGATCGGCAAAATTAGGGCTTTGGAGTCAGAGAGGGAGAGAGAGAGAGTTTACCCTCCAAAGAGAACCCAACGTTAGATACGTTGGGCTCGCTTTGAAATTTATTATTAAACACAGGGTTTTCTTTTTTTCTTTTTTTAAATCTTCAAGTTTTCATTTAGTTAATAAAATGGGTTAATTGCACTATAATAAGTCTTGGTCAAGTGTCAAATTACAAGCAGATATTTGGTTTTTATTAAGATAAACTAGATGAGAACCGCGCAAGAACAAATCCTTATTCCTTCTCAATCATTCATATAATAAGAATTGAAGTAATGAAAGAATATAAATATCATTGTTATTAGATTATAGAATAATTTTTTATATATGTATTGAATAAATAAAGTTGTCAATGATTTGTTTTGTATGTCTTTATTTCCAATATTTACTGTTTTTTTATATGTAAAAAAATAATTTTTAGTTGTGCATACTTGTAGATGATTGTTGTTATTCCTAATAAACATATATACATAAAAAAAGTGATAATTTAATTCTATTGAAAATTATCTCCATAACTTTTAAGTTTTAATAATTTTCGATTTTCAATTCTATTTTCATATGTTTGTTCTACGTTTCCTCGTTGTTGGTATATTTTATTCAATTTATATGAAAATTTTAGCTAAAAAATAATACTAAAAATGATATTATTAAATATTATAATTATCATTTATTTTAATAATAGTTAAATTTTCATATCTATCATAAAATTTATTGATTAGGCTAAGTTTTCCATTTTGTCTAGATAATGATGTGTCAAGTGATAAAATATATGAATTATAAAGCTAGTTAATTTGATATAATAATAAAATAAAAGTAATAAAAAGTTTAGTTAACACAATACAATAATAAACTTTTTTTATATCATATATAGTTTTATATTTATATGTATATAATAACCTAAAAAACACTTATTTTAAAAAAAACTATTATACAAATATACAAATTCTAAAACTTCTAAAAAATTAGATGGACTTTCTCATTTTTTTCATAAATCAGTAACATCTTAGAAATCTTGTTTGTTTGTCAAAATCTTGTATATAATGATATTTTTTTACTCGTTCTATACCATGAACTTTGAATTTGATTACTAAAACCTTCGTGAGATCGATACGAATGAGGAGAAACCAAAGCGGAGGACGCCATAGTTACAGCGTCCAAAATATCGCCATAACCAACGACTCCGACCAGAACGTTGTTCTCCTCCTCCCATGCTCCTGCTGTTGAATTTCCTCGTACTCGTTGTCGACCCGTCTTCTCCTTTGGCCGCATCATCGTTTTCTCCGATGGACGAGTCCTAAAATACCCACTGAATGGTCTGTATGGAAAAAACCTATCAAAAAAGAAAAAGAAAAGAGGACAGGTTAATTGAGGGGAAAAAAAATATGAAAACAGTAAAAATCATAGCTATGGTCCACAACGTGTGGTTGAGAATGTCTACCTATCCACGGTTCGAACCCATATGGACATAACCTTTATCAAAAAAAAAAATCATAGCTATGCATTTTCTTGTTAACTCTCAAGTGCTCGTCGGCAATTTTTCTTATTCCTTTCAAAATTTTCACTCAACTGTTCCTCCTGCTTCTGCTGCTTTTTTCTTTTTTCTTCTTCTACATCCTCCTCCATAGTTGTTGTTGGCTTCGTCTTGAATCGATAAACTGCACAGATATAACTCCGGAACATGCTTAAGAGAAGAAGAAATGCATTTCTTAAATGCGGTTAAAAGGTTAAGGCATATATTGCTTCCAAATGCAAATCTTTGATTAGTTGTGAAAATAATTGCAAGTTTCTTCCTATGAATTTAACATTCGACCATGAAATTGATCTCTTGACGAAAGGCCTATTGAAGAATCCTGATGTATACATTACCTGTTTTTTTTCAAATGATAATGTAAACATGCAATCAACCAAATTGATTAAACTCTCTTTAAGGTGGAGTATAGAAAGTTGAGGGGGAGAAGATGAAAATCATTTTTCAATTTTACTTCTTTCGAAAACAAATGTAAAAAGTTGAAAAACATGAAAGAGAGAAAAAAAAATGTGACTATTCAAAAGATCTAAGCAAAACGGGAGTGTTCACCACAAAATGAAGATTTGGTTTCAACTCCTCTTTTTCTTTATCCCATAATCCATAATTACACGAAAGGGCGATACAAAGGTGATTACACTTGATGTTTCAGATACAACGAACACTACAAACCCGCAAAGACCTAGATGCCGGAATAGGTCGGCCACGCATATTGCTGGACGAATTCTGTAAGCATAGGGTATATATTCTCAAACGTTATGTATGTGTCATCCCTCACCTTGGCCCTGGTTAGCACAATCTGATGCGACACAATATGAGAAGCACAATCTTTGGTTGCTTCATTCGATAAATAATGGCCGAAAAGAGTTCGGTACATATTCTTTACAAAAAAAAAATATCAGTTACATATTAGTTAAATGTGGTCTTTAGTGTACTAACGAATAAAACTTTCCAAATCATGACCGTTTTTTGTTTTATTCTCGTGTTTGAAGAAATTTTTAGTGGGTGGCTTTTAAGATATCAACATTACAATTATTTAATATTTATAAATAAATATTAGCGTTACAATTAGCTTTAAGGGAACTAATAATCGAAGTTTGAAACTACATGACCCTTAATGAATTATTAAATATCGCAAAAATTGAACACATTATTATCATTATATGTATTGTGCGTTTCTTCATAATATTTATTTTATCTTTAATTTTTAATGTAACATAATTTGTATTTACTATAAAATTTTAATTATTTTATTAAAAATAATTATAATATTATTAATTTGATAAAGAATATATATATTTTATTATATGTGTATATATATATATTTGATAAAGAATATGTGTATATATATTTTATTAATTTTTATTATAATATTAAATTATTTTAACATAAATTAGAATTATTTAGAAAAGGAACCAATAATATATGAGAATATTAGGTCAATGACAATTGAAAAAACTATAAAAAAAATGATTTTTTCTTAGTTTTCATTTTAAAAACCTTATTTTTCTCATATGCAAAATCTATATATAACAAAGACTATTATATAGATAATGAAGTGGATGATGATGATGAAGTGGAATTTGATTAGGCAATGAGGATCAAGAATTTTGCCCGAAAAATGATGATTTGGATGCCACATGTCCTCACCGCAATACTTGAACCAAACTTTTTATATACATAGATTAATATGATGCATTGATTTTGAATTAGAAATCTTTTAAAAACTACTTATTTATATATAGGTTTTTTAAATAAATGAAAATAAAATTATTTTAATTATCTATTCATTAATATTTTAGTTCATTAACGTGTGTGAATTTATGTGAATTTCTAACCATATATTTTTTAATTGTATATCATATATTTGTGTGAATGTTATAAATATATAAAAATTTGTTTTAATTTTTTGAAAATATCTTTATATTAAATATTATTTTTGATATATATATTTTTTTTGTTTATATTCTAGAAATCTTTCAAATTTGTAGTTTGTGATTATTTATATTTAAAAACGTGTGTGAATTTGTGTAAATTTTTAATCATAGATTTTTTAATTCTATGTCATATATTTGTATGAATTTTAGAAATATATAAATATTTGTTTTAATTTTTTAAAACATATTTATCTTAAATATTATTTAAGATATATTAAATATTTTTAATTTATATTATAGAAATCTTTCAAATTTCTAATTTTCATTTATTTAAATTTAAAAATGATGACATGGTGCTTAGTTGGATGTTTAGGTGGCTTCACCACAAACCTTTAAATCTCATTGTTATATATATAGAATTATTTTGGATATATTAAATATTTTTTGTTTATATTATAGAAATCTTTCAAATTTCTAATTTTCATTTATTTAAATTTAAAAATTATGACATGGTGCTTAGTTGGATACTTAGGTGGCTTCAACACAAACCTTTAAACCTCATTATTATATATATAGATTATTATTATTATTATTATTATTATTATTAGTATTATTATTATTATTTTCAACACTTGTGGAGTGAAGACAAATGTTGTAACATGGTATTGGTGTGAAAGGCAACGCGAGTAACAAAACTTACAAAATTAAACTTACAAAATACACTCGACATTGGACATTTCACATATATTGTTCTTGCATGTAATTCTAAATACATCATCTTCCTGATCCATTACTACCACATTTCCATTTCACATACATACATGCATGTATGCCTTTGTGCACATGCAACCAATGTATAAAATGTTATAATAAAATTTATGGATAAAAGTAATCGAATTTATAGAATTTAGCGTGTGTGTATGGATCACGACGGTCTTATCTCCACACATACACGTAGTAGACATACATACACACATAAGGTACAAAGATATATAGACAAGTGCAAATATATACATATATATATATATATATACATTCAATTATTTTAGGAGTTCTCTAATGTTTAAAAAAAGCTCTGGTCTATTACAATAACATTTCCTGCATCCATAACTTCTACTTCTTTCAAACCTTAAAAACTCGTATATTCTCAATCATGAGTTGTAATGATAATGAAGACCATCAAAGAACCAAGGAGAATATTCTTCACGAAGAACATAAACATCACCTTCCTCATCATCATCTTCACCATCTCCCGAATTCGGTTTCACCGTCTATCTCCGGAATTGTAGTTCATCTTCACATATCCTCCTCTTCCCGAACGTTAAGACCAAATCTTTCGTTGTGGATATATCTCCTGCAGATGATATCTTCTTCCAAGGCCACTTGCTTTCCCGTCAAATCTTCTCTCATCTCCCCATCTCTCCTCGTTCCTCCGCTCATTCCCGCGACGCTTCAATCCTTCCAAAAGAGAGATTAAACGGTGACAAAAACACCCAAGAAAATGACAAGAACCCTTCTTACTCTGATGGGGACAACGTTCTTGGAAAACACGACG